TTTCCTGAAGTCCAGCTACTAGGATTGATTGATGAATGTATTAGTCTGAGCTCTCTAGTCCAGCCTCTTGTATTATGTCTCGGAATGCCACTGCGTGTTGGTCTCCTCCTGCTGATTCGTTTTGGTTGATTTTTTCTGAAAATTTTGGCAGCTATATGGATTATAGACGGTATTTGTGCATGTGAGTTGTGACCCCTCTCTGTCCAGCTATATGAAGAGTTTTGTTTTGGTACATGATCCCCTCGTTATGCTTTGAAGTGTGTGTGTGAGGCTTTTACTGCAATTCTAGACTAGAGAGTCCAGTAATAAAAATTTGTCGACCAACTACCCCATCCCCATGCAGGCTACTTTATAATACGAGAGAAGTGAGGTAAAAAGCCTGTTTAGGAATGCCTTAGCCCTTTTTTTATTTTATTTGGTTAAAGACAAGTAGAAGACTTTAATTCAACCTTCACACTTATTTTCAAGTTGTGCAAGTTTCTTCCCTTTAGATTGTAAGTTTAAACTGATAATTAATTTTAATGTCACCGACGATTGTGGTTTGACAAATTTCTGAGAAATTGGACGTTTTTGTTTGGTCTGCATAAAGAGGGCATTACTTTGGAATAGGGATTTGAAGGAGGATATCACAAACTGCAAATTAGACATACGTTGTACTGCATATTTCTGTAGAAACTTGGCTGTAAATTCGGGTTTCTCTGTTTATCGCCCTATATCCCTTCTCCCTCAGGTGGCTTTCTTCTTTCATTTTTGGCGGATGCAAAAGTTCCCATGTTCTCCTTCCTTCATTAGACTTTGGGCTCGTTTCTTGTGGGAAGACAAACATATAACTATTTTATTGAAGTTCCGGGTAATTCCGAAAGATTAAGCAGTCATGTCTAAACTTCGTCTTACCAAACAAATAACTGAAGTGATCGCAGTTCATGAAATACAACAATAATAAACTCAGTATAATCCTACAAGTAAGGTCTGGGAAGGGTAGTGTGTACGCACACCTTACCCCTACCTTTTGAAGGTAGAAAGGTGGTTTCCAATAGTAGCAGTTCATGAAACTTAAACTAAAAATCCCAAATTAAGGTCATACCGAGTAACCTTTTCACTTAATAGGGTTTAACCTTCCCCTTCCATCATTAGAAAAGGACAACGAATATATGAATACTGATAGTTGCAATTATAGCTAATCTCTTCATTTCCAACTGAATAATAGTAGAATACAGCATGGTAAAACCGGTACATGGGTCATTGCCCTTTTTCACCCCCACATCAACTCTCCAACCATTCACAAAACAATAATCTTATGCATGTATTAGGTTCAACGTTTTAGAACATAAAGCATCATCAGAAGTTTGCCTGATTATTTGCAGAATAGTGTATATCTAACGTCTACTATGTTGGATAAAAGCTAAACCAAATGCCTCAGGCTGCAAGGAACTCGCGAAAGATAACCCGATCACTCAAACGAATCCAAAATTGTTACTGGAAAAACTTGACAGTATTTTTCTTTTTTAATTGTCATTAGCGAATTTGATTCCCTTCTCAATGGAGGATTTCAGCTCTGGTTTAAGAGCTTCGAGTCCTTGTTTCTCGAAGTCTGAAAGTGGGCCCAATCCTAGAACTTCCTCCACACCATTTTTCCCAAGTCTCACCTGAGAAGAGAGAATATAAGAGCCAAAACCAGAATATATAAAAAAACCAACAAGAGGTGCCTACTTTTTCAATCACTTGACCAATCAATTAACTACATTTCAGTCCCAAATTATTAGAATACTCTTTGGGGTCAATTATGGCCTATAATGCATGAAAATCATGTGAGAAACATAAGAGTCTAGCAGTTACAATGAAATCCTGATTGGTCTTACTGCTAAACGTCAAAGTAATAACTTTAGCAAGGTCGCCCATAATCAAAGCTAACAAAGTAAAAGCTATCTTTTGTGCATTAAGAGCCATGAGTGCCTTAACTCACAAAAATTAGGTAATTCTTAACATTTCGAATCGAAAATTCTGTATGATCGGACCTGTCAAAACTCACAAAACAGCAATGGACAACAAGAACGAAGCGGATACCATGTCCTAGTAAATCAAAGTTTGTAAGTTTCTATTTTTTTTCCTTACATCTTCTATCTCCCATTTTTACTTCATAAACACAGAGATAAGCAAATTATTCAGACAGTTTCAAATAAAGTCATTGTCTGACAGAAAATGAAGATCCATCTATAGATAGGCAAACTAGAGATATGGACACACATACAAAATGTCTGGTTAGAGAGGATAGCATTACCTTGGATGCAAAGAAAGGCAGATCTGTCACAGTTGACTGCACGAATGAACACTCTACAACATCTGGAACCCCATTCAGCCCCTTCAAGCAAGCATCAGCAAAGATGGCCCCAGCATAACTGCGGAAGTGAAAAGAATTGCTCAAAACTAAGTTATCACACTGAAGATACGTAAAAAAAGGTAGCTTTGGACTAGTAACAACAAAGAAAAGTCTTTTTATTTTTTATTACCATAGCTTCTACTGATCTCTTGAGTGGGACAAGGTCACTTCAATAATAGATGCATGGAAACTTTATATTCAAGGTAAGACAAAATCAATATTGTATGATGCTGTGGTCACAGTGCAGCATGCACTATTATTTGTGGCATAAGATGGCACATGCAAAAAAGGGTCTGAACTTTGGAGTGATCATCATTAGCATTGTGAAAACCTGTTGAACTATATACTCCCACCGGTCCAAAAAAGGGTCTGAACTTTGGAGTGATCATCATTAGCATTGTGAAAACCTGTTGAACTATATACTCCCCCACCGGTCCACAATTAGTGACCAATTTGCTTTTGGCATGCTCATTAAGAAAATACTAAATTCTATACAAAAATACCTAGTATGACTAAACTACCTTAATTAAATATTTAATGTGAGGAATTAAATATTTAATGTGAGGAGTAAGAAAACTTTTTAGGATATATACACAAGGGTAATTTTTTAAAAATAAATTGAATTTTTTCTTGATTATATAAATGGACACTTATTTTGGACCAAAATAAAAAAGCAAATTGGTCATTTATTGTGGACCGGAGGGAGTAATTTTTTTTTTATAAATCTTGTTGAAGCATACAGAAGAAACCTAGTTATAGAGCGACCTTAACCCTCTATACAAGTGTTTGATTTGCTAGATGCAGACGCCTATGTAGGTATTCCTTATTGACATCAGAAAATTCTTGACAGTTGCCACCAAACAGAGACGAGGTTTACTAAAACCTCAAAATCAAACTATATAGAAGAGAGGCATGAGTAGAAACATACGCCATCGAGAGGGTTGCTGAACCCTTTCCAGCCTTGGCCTCCACAACTTCAGTGCCGCCATCTTGGGTTCGCTTGGTAAGTGCCTCAATTTCTTCATCTCCCAAATTTGCCTTTGGGGTGGCCTATTTGCAACATTGTGAGATAACAAGAAAAGAATAAGTAAAGTTACAAGGTAGAGTTAAATCTTTAAATAACCTTAATAAAACAGAAGAAAAAAAGAGTTACTTGGGAAAATAGTGGGAGGATGGTTATGCCAGCATGACCACCAACAACGGGGACAATGACGTCTGGAACAAAGTAAATTGTAAGTAGGGAGAGAACTTGACATGAATTTATGGTGCAAGTGAAATAAAATAAAACCAATTATAAACCAGGAAGTACGCTAAGATGCATACCAGCAACATTAACTTTAGCTTTTCCTGCATAGAAAGTCTTTGCCCTAACAACATCAAGTGTGGTCACTCCAAAGAGTCTCTTTTCATCATAGGTTCCAGCCTTCTTGAACACCTCAGCGGCAATTGGGACAGTGGAGTTAACAGGGTTGCTGATCATATTGACAAGCGCCTTTGGAGATTTGAGGGTAGGCAGTAGAGGAAAGAGGAAAAATCAGTATTTGCTATGCCCACGGCTAAACTCATACATAAACCAATATGGGTACTTACATGAGGGCAATACTTTGCAATGGCTGTGCAAAGAGATTTAACAATACCAGCGTTAATGTTGAACAGATCATCACGGGTCATACCAGGCTTTCGTGGCACACCAGCAGGAATGATGACAACATCAGCTCCCTCCAAAGCCTGTCTTAGCTGTTCATCTCCTGCAAACCCAGAAACCTGCCAGGAAAAACATCGATGGTCAAGGAACCGCAAGGGCCAGGGAATAGGTTCAGACACTGAGGTCGTTTAGTGTGTGGACTGCAAGTGGGATAAAAAGTATTCCACCGTTTGGCTAATTGTGGAGAGGATTACATCATCAGGAGTAAAGTTAGGGGTCTTTTGGAGATCCATATGGGTGAAAATATACCCCAACTAACTTCTGCATTAGTTGTTCAGTATTTGGTTATCATATTTACTCTCTGTATTCACAATATCCACATTAATTATGTAGTTACTCCCATATTATTGGATACCAAATTCAACAAGGATTGACCTCACAAGTATTAGCAATAACTGCATAAAAACACATAAATCAGGAAAAAAATAACTTCATATATAACTTCTTCAGTTAATCATCTCTGACTAGTTATCTCTCTTTATATTTCGAGCAAACTAGGTACATTTGACTATTAAAGCAATAAAAAGATCAAGCAGTTAATCAACTATACCTCAATCTGTAACTAGCAGGACTCAACGACATATATCCTCCAGATATCTTGCTCTATTTGGATCCATTTCATTTTAATACTAATTCTTCTATGGTCAATTAGGAGTTCCTAAAATTAAAAGATCTCAAAATCTCACACTTATTCCTATCCATATTTAAAGTAAGTGTGACAATGAGTAAGACTTAATCCAGCTTGTTGGTATCCCTTAAGTGTATCTTTTGTTTTTATTGTGCTATTCTCTTAGATACATACACTAGGTTGTTGTTGTTGTTGTCTCGTAGATACATATGTATCGATTTTGAGAGAATGCAAGTCTTTTCAAGCAACTACCCCATCTCCTTTTAGCACCCTCAATCACCAGTGTCGCACATATGGACTAGCTGCGTTGTAGGTTTATGTAGCGCATAGCCTGACCCATCTGTGGCAAGTGCAACTTTCAATTATTTTATCCTTTGTGTGATACTTGCACTTTTTGCCTGACGATTCTTTATGTCCATATTTATATGACCACATCCACCTTAGCATTCACATTTAAAGTTTCAACGATGCCTATCTTGTGCATATGATGGGCATTAGAGACCCATTTTCACACAATATAACATTGATGATTCCACAACCATTCTTTTGATGAAGAAAACCATTTTAAATATGTCGTCAGGTATGGGAATCGAACCCACAACCACGTGATTAAAATCTGTCTCACAATCATTTTATAAAATTACCTTTCAGTTTGTTAGGTATTTTCCCATCGCTCAAGAACCTCATAGCAATCTTTCACTTTAATCATCATATTTCAAATCAATTTACTACATTTTCTTCTAACATGTCATTATCTTAGAAGACTAAGTGACACCACTATCTTTTCCAATCTCACATCACCTTCGTCCTTCTTATGGGAGCTAGACGTGCATATACTATGCCATACTTCTATTTATCCTAAAACCCTTATTCAGTAGAATGCTTCTCGATAGTTCCTACTTTTAAATAACTCTTCGCTAGTAAAATTTTCATCTTGAGAAGAGGAATGTAATATTTCTCATATTTCCACATACATTATCTTAAAATTGTATACCTGAGTTTTGATTCTTGACAATTATACAAGGATTATAGTCTAGAGATTCTAGTTCTAATAATAAACACTGGAGTACATGTAGTTGTGACTGAATGTTTGATTAGTCATTGTAAATCTAAAAATACGTGTATGATCTAAAACACATGCTTATATAAAATTTGATAAAAGTTTGTCTCCATAATTCTTGGCCTGTTATAATTTGATATTTAGCTTATCATCATACCTGACAAAAAATTACTAGCAATATGATAATAATTGAAATAAAACTCGAAGAAATAAGAGTTACAGATTCACACAAACATAGAAACTGAATTCATCAAAGGATACTGATGAATCAGAGCAGTTGAAATTCTGGAGCTTAAAAAGAGAGAAACACACACACACACACACACAAACACATATCACGAAGAGCGTAAAATACGGATCAATGCCAGTTCGAACGGTTAATGATGTAAAACCCTAGAAACGAGTAAATCAGATAAACACAAATTAAAAAAACGATTACAGCAGAAAACTCCATAAATACTTGGAAGAAAAGAACTCAGTAAATGTAACGCAGTAAAAGACGAGAATTACAGCAGTAAAAGTGGAGATAAAGCAGAGAGTAAACCTGAGATCTGGTGTTGATGTGGCTGACATCAGCGGCAACACCAGGGGTACCGGCAATATCGTAAAGTGAGAGTTGTGATACTAAAGGATTCAGCTTCATAAGAAGTGATAGAGGCTGTCCGATCCCACCAGCTGCCCCTAAAATTGCTACTTTCCGGTCAGGAGCGGACTCCGACGCGAATCCCCGGCACGTCAGGTATGCACCGGTGGTCGAGGTTCTGCGGGCGATAGATCTCAACATGGTCGAAATAATTGGTTGGTTTGTGGTGAAGAAAGGAAAAGGAAAAGGCTACGGCGAGAGAATGTGAGTCGAAAATGAAAATGCTCAAAGTGGGAAGATGAGGAGAGCATTTATTGGCGATAGATTCGTGAGTTTCGAGGAGTTGGTCTCCGTTTTTAGAGTGTAGTTATCTTCCGCTAAAAAAATTTTAGGCTTGTAGTAAGATTTTGACTACAGAAAATCCAACTTGAAAAAGTTTACTGTTATGCTAAAATTGTTAATTAGTCTTGATTAAATAAAAAGATAAACAATTAAAAGTATACATTAATCACAATTAAGTGAAAAAATGCACCATGTCAGTCATTAGTTGACTCGACTAATCAACTCGGTTTTTTTAACTTTTCGGGAGTGAGTTGAAAAGCAACGGACAGAGGAAGAGAAGATGGCTAATGAATTAGAATCTTGCAAATTATGTCTCTGGGTAATTGCAACCAATAGACTATTAACTCCAATTTACAAGCTTGTACTCGGTATCTAGATCCATTAGTTTTCTGATATTTTAGTTGTTTTTTTTTTT